TAGCAATTCTTAGATGTGATGGCTGCATTAGTTTTTGTTTAGGTTTCTCTCTTTTATTTTCACCATGTACTACCAGCCAGTAAGTCTAATGTTTTTCAACAGAACAAGCTGATTTAGCAGCTGGAGGGTTGACACAAAACATTTATCACTGACAGGGGTGCTCACAATGGTCAGCTTTTATTTATGTAAAACCTTTATCCCAAAAGGAAAAAACTGCTTGCTGTAACTGAATATAAAGTGTTAGCTGGAGTTCAGCTTCAATTTGTTAGTGTAACTAAATCTGTGAGTGTATCTAATGCTCCCCTTCCTACAAATTAACAATGCTGCCATCCAAAAAGTGTCCCCTGTGCTCCCTCATCCTGAGTGGGGGCACTCTAATACAGGAGGTGTATTTTTGTCTAGATCACCAGGTAAACACAGAGGTAAAAAAAAAGTCTAAAAAAAGAAAACTAATGCAATCACACCTAATGATCAGTAAGCTGTAATATATTACATTTTTGGTTTTGGGCTTAATACAGCTTTAAATATAAATATAAAACAGTCCTCGTCACAAAGCAGAAACTTTCGGCGCAATCATGAGATAATCTGTTTAGAAACCAAAACGACTACTAGAAATAAACTTTGAGCACAAAATAGATCACCTGGATGGAAAAATGTAGCTCATTCTCCATTGTTTTCCATTTAAAGAGTATCTCAACCCAAGAACTAAAATGTAGTACAGTCATGTGAAACAGTAAGTAAACAGCCATAGAAATTGACTTATTAAACATATATGAACAGGAAAATATTAGATCTTCATTCAAATAGTGCCTAAAGGTGATATACTTAAACAAATGGCAAAGGAAATTGACATGATGTATTCATCCTCAGTCTAAATTAAAGCTGAAGTTTTGTATATATTTTTAGGAATATAAACATGTAATGGGAAGTATCTCATACTTGCTTCTGCTACGCATCATCCCCGCAGTGTCCCCTCATAGCTTACGCCCGTCTTCTCTCACCATTGGCTACTACATGTGCTGCCCACCTATTCGCCCCATAGTGCATTCATATTACCCCATAGTGCTTCATGTTCTGTGAATGGAGGAGGAGTAGTTGAATGACAGAATCTCCTCCGCTAATTCACAGAATGCATTGAATTGTGAGAAGGTAAAAATACGAGCAGTGTGAATGGTGGAGAGGGCAGAAGAAGGCGGGCAATCGGCACAACGGTTCTTAGTAGTAGCCGCTGCTGTTATGTGTATGGAAACTCTAACAATACATTTTCAATACTACTTATAGGGCATAGTGAATACATGTCACAGAAAGGAAGTCAATGTGTGAGGATCTTCATAAAGTAAAGTGGTACTAAAGGTTTTTTATTACCTAAAATAACAAATGTGTTATACGTACCTGTTCTCTGCAATGGTATTACATAGAGTGGCTCCAAACCTCCTTTTCTGGGGTCCCCCCCCCCTGCTGGCACTCTCGTCTCCACCTCTTCTGTGTCTGCCCCCATTGCAAGCCGCTGGCTATAGGGTAGTCTTTCTCAACCAGGGTGCCCAGGCACCCTGGGGTGCCTTGAGGTTTCTTCAGGGGTGCCTTGGGACAATGTCTACAAATTGCCCAAAACCTGTACACAAGCCAGCAGGGGAAACAAGCCTGCCTTTTTAGTTACAAAAAGCCAAAGGGTTTTGATTGTGCACCATTACAACCTTCTAGCCGCCAGCATCCTGACAACCAATGCATCATCAGTTGATAAGGAGGATGTCAGCTGCCTGCACAGCATCCTAGTTTGACTCTCCCCTTCCCCCTTCTGTCAGTGCTGGAGTCACATTAGCTCAGTGATAGAGAAAAACTGAGGGAGAAGAGAAGCACTGTAATACTAGTCAGTATCAGGGTGCAAAAGTGTATTTGCCTTGGAAGAATAACTTTGGGTGTCCTACAATCATGGATGTTGCTGCATTATATAAAACTATTAGAATAGTTTTTCACATTTTAGAATGGGATGCTTCAAGGCTGCCCATAATTTTAAAGGGTTCCTTGACTGAAAAAAGTTGAGAAACCCTGCTATGGGGCAGATGTGTGGGCTCGATCCTGAGCTGGGCTGTGTGCATCTATTGATATACACAGTGCAGCTTGACCCCACCCCCACTCCTTCCTCACTGAATTTGATGGGCAGGAGCCAGTGGCTCCCTTTGCTGCCGGTCAGTCCCTGTGTGAAGAGAGAGAGAGAGAGGGGGGGGGGGGGTGAAGACTGTAGGAGTGCACATCGCTGGATCAATCCAGGAGTGTGGTAAGGGTTTAGAGGGGGAGGGAGGCATAGCAAGTCCTAAAACATTTTTTTTACCCTAAAGCAGGGAATGCATTGAAGTAAAAAAAAAAAAAAGTTTTAGCTTTAGAACCACTCATGTTTGCAAACTTCAAGATTGTTCAGATTAATAGGCTAGAAATAATTGAAATACAATGTGGAAATAAATATATGAGTTTTCACCATAGATACACTTTAATGAACTGGCTCTTAAGTCGTTTTCAATAGAAAATGCTTATGTAACGCAAATACCGCATGCGTTAGGGAATTGACCCCACAGTGCTTTAGCAAGCTAAATGTCATTCAATTAAGGGTTACATCTACTTTTAAAAAATGAACATTAAAATTCTTGCAAAAGCCCAATTGAGATGGGTTCTGCCTGAACAATCCTGGCAAACAGCATAAATGTTATAGAAAGAAAATCGTACGCAGATGAACTTTAAGCTCTGCCAAAGCTAACAACAGTGCTGCAGTGAAATATTTCTGGTAGCATGGTGCACACCTGCTGAACCTCATGAACCTGAACTTGCAGTGATGTGACCTGGGCACGAAAATCCTCAATCTCCTTCTGGCACAGCCTCAGTCGGTGGTCACGCTCCTCCAGCTGCTGCTGGTAAGTGATGATCTGCTGTTTAGAGTGAAGGAGATCGACGGCTGTGCTTGAGTGACTTGTGTTCCTCAGCGTTTCACTGGCCTGCAGCTGCAAACAGAACACAAACAGATTGAAATTCTTGAGTAGATATTGTTGTGCAAGTTTAATTTCTGGTACGGCTTTCATTTAAAGTGAAACGGTCATTTACTCATCAGTAGTCACCCTCTCTTGCTCGCTCCCGAGATGGACTAAGGACCATAGTTCATAAACCATTTTTACATAAAACAATATCTCAGTATCTGTTATAGCTGAGTGGATCCATAAATAATAAGTATTTCAAACAGAAAAGAGTTTTGCAGCGAGATTTTATTAAAGAGGGTGTTTGACATAAACCAAACTTAAAGAAGTTATTTCAACCCTTGGCTACCAAATGTATGCCTTATATCAATGAGAGGTTCAAACAAGCTCAGAGTTGTTGCAGCCACAAGCTTGGGATTGTTTTTTTTTTTAGCCAGCTCCCAGCTTTTAATCGAAGAGCTGATTCACACATGTGCGGTGGGGATTGAAGCTAATTGATACAGTAGTTGTTCAGCAGTTCAGGTCAGGTTTACATCAGGTTCAGGACAGGATTAGCTCAGGATCTTATCCTGTTCACACATATGCGGTTTAGAAATGGTTCCCATAGAAGTCAATAGCTTGTAATCCGTACCTGAACCGGACCACACTGCTCAGAAATCGGACACGACTTTTTTTTAAAACTGCAGTGAATCTGCATTGCCAGTGCACTGGACATATGTGAACAGGTACTATAGGATGTTTTTTGACGTCATGCGCATTGGATGCAGTTAAAACCACATCCAATCCGCATAAATAGGAACAGGAACTAAAAGTGATCTGGGTGGTTATAGGGCCGCTGGATCACGTTTATGGTATTGTTAACTAGATGCATATCCATTAGCTTAGCACGGCCCAGTAATGCAGAATAAAATGCTGCTCACACATCAGTATGTTGGCAACCTTATGTACTGCAGTACATACTGCCTACTGACCCCTCCGGAGCAAAAAAGATGAAGAAACCATGATGACAGTGGACCAGACAGCTTTACGTTGTATATAATTTTTCTTCTATTTAATATTTTAATTCTTTCTGAAAATGTGAACTACAAAGGTAAACTACACTGTACACCCTCCCCACCCCACAGTCCTTTACTTACCTCCTAGAGTAATGAGCTGCTGATGCCTGCGCAACAAGTGTATGGTCCAGTGATTTGAAAACCCCACTCTTTTTTCCCCACTGCAGGGCTTCCAGGATGGATCAGAGAGATTCTGATTGCTCAGCTCCGACACAGAGCTCCATGGGTGTAGAGCACTGACAGCTCATCACCCACAAAGAAAAGTACAGTGGGGACTGGGGAGTGGGGTGGGGAAAGATATACAGTGCTAGCTCACCCTTTAATTTTTTCTGTAAATAGGTGTGAAGGGGTGTTCTATTTTAAATAGAGCTGGACATGGGCTTCAATGGAGATCTATGCTGCCACCAAATAAAATGAAAAAAAAAAAAAAAAAAAAAAAAAAAAGCAGATATGGAATTTCCATTACAACATAATCCCCTTTAAAATGGTTGTAAAGGTAAAAGGTTTTTTTTTACGTTAATGCATTCTCTGCATTAAAGTAAAAAAAGTTAATAGTAGCTCCCCAGCAGCCCCTGCTAAATACTTACCTGAGCCCAATCTCGATGCAAAACTGTGCATGTCTGTAGCAGCTCTTCTCTCTCCATTCCCACAGGCTCGGCTGAGAGCATCAGGAATCACTAGCTCCTGCTGCTGTCAGTCAAAACCTGTGAGCAGAGAGTGGGGGGCGGAGCCAAGCTGGGCCGTGTTTGAAGCAGCTTCCAATGGGGGGCACTCGGCTGCAGGAGAGGAGCCAGGAGTGCTAGTGGAGGATCCCAGAAGAAGTGGATCGAGGCTGCTCTGTGCAAAACCACAGCACAGAGCAGGTAGGTATGACATATTTATTATTTTAGTTTAAAAAAAAAATTAAAGCTTTACCATCACTTTATTAATGAGTACTGCCCATTATGTAACAGTTACAGTATGTGATCTATAAAGAGCATCTTACATGCTGAAACTGAATCTTCAGCTTTTGGCTTTGCTCAGTCAATTCCAGAAACTCCCTCATGATGTCATCTTTCTCCTTCCTGGCTTGCTGGAGGTTGGCTGTAAGCTGAGTGATGATGCCGTCTCTCTGTTTTATGGCCGTCTCAAACTCCTGGAGCTGCAGAATAGATCACACAAGAGATGCCAGGTTACAATTTTTAAATAAACAAGGGATATCTACCAGTGAGGGGGAAAAAAAAATAAAAGGCACACTTTGTAAAGTCTTCAAGATACAAGTAATTTGTTCCTTGTCATTTCTGCTTCAGAACGCAAAGAGCTGCAAACCTCAAATAGAGTTCATTAATCATTTTCTTACAAAAATACCCTAACTAGTCAAACACAAGTTTGGATCAGCAGGACTAACAGTTTAAAAGTGTAAGTCAAGGTAAAAAAACATATACAGCTCATATGCAATACATCTCTACCAAACAAGCACATTCCCGGTGTTTAAAGACCCTGCAAGTACAGAAAAAATACCCATTGATCTCAGCTCCTAAGTCCTGTTGTGGGCTGACAACACATAGCACTTTTGTGGACTGAGCGGTGTCAGCCCTGCCCAATGTCTTTTGCTAAACTACTCAACCACTCCAGTAGCAAACTAGCCCATCAGAGTCGGACGCGGAGTTCCCCTCTTTTCTTTTTAGTGGAAGTATTCCTCAGCCCTCATTCCCTACCCTCTCCCTTCCTGAGAGGCAAACGTTATCTCCTAAGTGACAGATGGTGGGGGGTCAACACAGGTGAAGGCATCCCTGGTTTGGTGCCAGCAGTCTGTGGAAAGTGGAACCTTTCTCACCCATCATAAAACAGATAAGGCAGCTTCTCCCCGGACTTGAAAGAAGTTGGAACCTCATAAAACTGACCAGCAGTTAATTGAACATTCCTCAGGTCAGCTGTCACCTATGTTTCATATCATGGAGTATGAAGCTGTTAGTTTTAATTGAGAGTCCACTGACCTCCTGCCCAAATTATTGTATTGGGCAGACTCAGAGCCACCCCCCTTCCCCTGCAGGGGGATTTTTAAAAAAGGACAGGCTGCAAGCCTGGAAGCGGAGTTTAAGACACACATCTCCTGAGTTTAACATTGTAACAGAGGAGATCAAAGACCTTTCCTGCTCTGCACTTGGATCTGCTTACAAACCAAGGCATATTGGCAAGTAACTTAACTCTTTAATTTCCTTCCTATTATCGCTTTGCTGTACCTTCATATGCATATATATATATTTACATTTTCTTTGTAAATATTTTATTGCACCTGTTTGACTCTTTTAGTAATAAATCTTTCATTCCGAAAGTGTTAAACTGTTTCTAAGCGCTTACTTGCAATTCACGAATTCCTGCCTTTGAAGAGACGCTACTGTGTTTGTTTAATCCTCTGCCCAATCGGCCTGAGGTGACCGTATTGGACAGGCGACTTTTCAATCATTATAGTGTATATTTGATAACGGGAGTTTCCCAGTCTCTGACAAAAGTGGTGGTGGCAGTAGAGTGTTAGTTGCATAATTAACCCGACCCAGTAACAAGCACATTCAGGCTGCAGGCACCGATTGTAGCCCATTAGCTGGACAATCGCTGTGCAGGGTGCAGCTGGGTGGGGCCTTGTTACGCACGTCATACCGCGGTTTTAGATCGGCCGGTCCTTTGGTCACGAGTTGGTGAGAAGGTCTGGGGTCTGACGCCGCGGGCGTGATGTATTACTGTTAGTCGCGGTCGTACGATTGTCGCATGTTGGTGGCGGCGACCGTGCGATCCGTGACAACTCCCACTCTCAGTTCTCTACAACTAAGGCTGACCATAGATGGGTCACTTTTTGGCCGATAAACGAAAAATCGGTCGTTGCTGGCAGCGATGTGGATTTTCCAGCATGACCGATAAAAGTAAACGAGAAGGACTGCGAAAAACGGCCGACGGACTGGCCCCACTAACGGCGTGAATATCGGCCGATTTTTCGTGCGGATGAAAATTCGGCCAATAAACAACCCATCTATGGCCTGCAAAAGTCTAATTATTGTGCTGTAGTTAGATAAGAACTAAGAGGTCTCCTTGAGATAAGTGTGGACAGGACTAAGGACAGCTCTGAATTTCTGACAAGATCAGCAGGTTTTGTTTGCACTTAAATATAACAAAATGCTTTCAACTGCATAATAAACAAACCAAAAAGGTAAGCTAATTGGAGAAGGGTTAGGATTTACATACACTAGTGTCCCTGGAGTTGCTAAAATGAGAAGAAGGGTTGTTACAGTGTAGGGATTAAGGGACTACAAATGAAAATGTAACGATCTCAGCTACAACTGTAAAGCTGACTATACACATTACAACCCGAGCGCAAAATCTCCTTTAGATTTAAACAAAGTTATTCAGTGGGAGAGTCTACAACAGAGAGTTTACGAAGCCCAACACGATATCGTAAACTCTCTTTAAAGTTTTGAATCTTTTTGGGGAAAAAAATCTTTTTTTCTAAAAATGCGTTTACACTTAGCAAACATATGCAGCCAAAGTAAAATTTGACAGTGCATCTTTACTGGACTTTAGAAGTTTTATTTTCCCAAAGAAAAATCTCCCAATCTTTACAATCATGCCATATTCATGGCATCAGTTTTCGGCAGCACCTACAGGTGAAACTCGAAAAAATTAGAATATCAAGCAAAAGTTCATTTATTTCAGTAATGCAACTTTAAAGGTGAAACGAATATATGAGATAGACTCATTACATGCAAAGCAAGATAGTTCAAGCCGTGATTGTCATAATTGTGATGATTATGGCTTATGACTCATGAAAACCCCAAATCCACAATCTCAGAAAATGAGAATATTGTGAAAAGGTGCAATATTCTCGGCTCAAAGTGTCCCACTCTAATCAGATAATTAAGCCATAACACCTGCAAAGGGTTCCTGAGCCTTTAAATGGTCTCTCAGTCTGGTTCAGTAGGAATCACAATCATGGGAAAGACTGCTGACCTGACAGTTGTGCAGAAAACCATCATTGACACCCTCCATAAGGAGGGAAAGCCTCAAAAGGTAATTGCAAAAGAAGTTGGATGTACCCAAAGTGCTGTATCAAAGCACATTAATAGAAAGTTATGTGGAAGGGAAAAGTGTGGAAGAAAAAGGTGCACAAGCAGCAGGGATGACCGCAGCCTGGAGAGGATTGTCAGGAAAAGGCCATTCAAAAGTGTTGGGGACTTTCACAAGGAGTGGACTGAGGCTGGAGTAAGTGCATCAAGAGCCACCACACACAGATGGATCCTGGACATGGGCTTCAAATGTCGTATTCCTCTTGTCAAGCCACTCATGAACAACAAACAACGTCAGAAGTGTCTTACCTGGGTTAAAGAAAAACAGACCTGGTCTGTTGCTCAGTGGTCCAAAGTCCTCTTTTCTGATGAAAGCAACTTTTGCATCTCATTTGGAAACCAAGGACCCAGAGTATGGAGGAAGAATGGAGAGGCACACACTGCAAGATGCTTGAAGTCCAGTGTGAAGTTTCCACAGTCTGTGTTGATTTGGGGAGCCATGTCATCTGCTGGTGTTGGTCCACTGTGCTTCATTAAGTCCAGGGTCAACGCAGCCATCTACCAGGAGATTTTGGAGCACTTCATGCTTCCTTCCGCAGACGAGCTTTATGGAGATGCCGACTTCATTTTCCAGCAGGACTTGGCACCTGACCACACTGCCAGAAGCACCAAAACCTGGTGCAATGACCGTGGGATTACTGTGCTTGATTGGCCAGCAAACTCGCCTGACCTGAACCCCATAGAGAATCTATGGGGCATTGCCAAGAGAAAGATGAGAGACATGAGACCAAACAATGCAGAAGAGCTGAAGGCCGCTATTGAAGCATCCTGGTCTTCCATAACACCTCAGCAGTGCCACAATCTGATCACTTCCATGCCACGCCGCATTGAGGCAGTAATTGCTGCAAAAGGGGCCCAAACCAAGTACTGAGTACATATGCATGCTTCTACTTTTCAGAGGTCCGATATTGTTCTATGTACAATCCTTGTTTTATTGATTGCATGTAATATTCTAATTTTCTGAGATTGTGGATTTGAGGTTTTCATGAGCTGTAAGCCATAATCATAACAATTATGACAAATCACGGCTTGAACTATCTTGCTTTGCATGTAATGAGTCTCTCTCATATATTAGTTTCACCTTTTAAGTTGCATTACTGAAATAAATGAACTTTTGCACGATATTCTAATTTTTCCAGTTTATCAGTGATAAAGAGAAAACAGGTGGTGCACACACCTAGTGCATTATCCAAGGTTTATTGTGAGGAGTGAAAAAATAAAAACATACTCACAGACGAAGCATGCATCTAAAAAGCATAGAAAAATGACGATGGCCACAACGGCAGGCAAGGTGTTCTCACTGTCAGTGCAGTCAAATGGCTGACACGTTTCGGGGACGAATCCCTTTCCTCAGAGCTAATGACCAGCCTCTGATGCAGATGTGTAATGAATGGAAAGTGGGAGCCTTGCTGGTGATGCCTCAATATCAGTGATTGTTAATGCTTGATCTGCCATGTGTACTGCTCATCAGCGATCTTATTGTTAACTATGCACTGTATCCAAATTGTCCTGTGTTGGACAAAAAAAAAAAAAAAAAGGGTACCCAAAAAGACAGTTGCTGCAGTAGTAGAGCCAAGATCTCTTTCGACCAGGCATTCAGATCTAGCATTCCACCAGATCTGAGATCATGTAATAAGCTATACAGTGGTAAACATCCAACCCCCTTGAAGGGCACTAAAAACCTGGGAAGAGAGTAAAAAAAAAGAAAAAAAGGTGGATAGTCAGGTGGTGGTCTTCAGCTTCTTAGGATACATTCTAAAAAAAATTCATGAAATAAAATGTGGCTTTGGGAATGGCTAAAATGCCATTCCTGCATGGTAGTGAATGGCTCACCTATTGACTTTATTAGGCAACATGTGGTATTTGCTGAACTAGCACATCAATTGGGCCTAGACAGCAAAGCACTGGCGGTACTAGACTGTATCATGGAAGTAATTTCATGGAGTACAATGTACATGTAGAGAGTCCTCACATTAATCCCTGGAAAATATATGCAGGTATCTGTCTCCAAAGGCAGAGAGAACGTCTGGGTAAATGTCATTTTTGC